CTAATTAGAGGAATTAAACTTGCAGCAATGGACTTTTAGAGATCCAAGTCTTGCTTTTCTAATGGAACACTTTCCAAAGCAATGTTTAACAGATTGTGGCCTGTGGAAGCTCCCTGAAGAAGGAATAAGGGTTAGTCAAGAGCAAGTTAAAGAAAGGGCAGTAATGACTAACTCACCAAGTTGATTTCTTTCTTGGTTTTCTTTATTTCTGGAGTTAGTTAAAAGAAGTCAGATTCTTCATCCGGTTCGGGGTCCACAAGGAGTTTCCTCTTACTTTTCAGGGGGTGATCTTGGTCAAGTGGACTTGCATGTTTTATTGACTTGGTAGAAGTTTTTACTGAAGAGATCTTTTTTGAGGTACTCTTTTCAAAGGCAGTAGAGGAGTTATCCTCACTCGACAAAGAGATAGGAGGTACGTACTTCTTCTTGGCAATGGCTAGAGTCTGTCAAATAGAAAAGTATACTAGAAGTTAACAAGAAAGGGATTTAAAAGGAGGTCATACCAACTAGAAGGTATTGATGATACCTGAGAAGAAGAATCAGCTTTCTTTTTCCCTTTTGTTTTATAGAGCTCATCTTCTTGAAATTTTTCTTTCTTAACTTTCATAAGGGCCACATCTTTGTCACTTCCTAGAGGCTTGTCAACCCCAGAGCCTTCTGGATTACTATCCCCACCTCCTTCAATACCTTCAACCTCTGCAGTCACTTCAATTTTTCCTTTCTTGCCGGTAGGATTCTTGTCCTTTCCATCAGCATCATCATCATCATTGTCTGTCAAAAGAGTGGAGATTTTTATTAACAGATTATATGTGACTAGTTTGGGAAATTCAAAAGCTTACCATCAGAGAATGTTTCTTCACGGCTCGGTGTGATAGGCTTAAAGAAGTTCAAAAGCCTATTGCAAACTTCCACATAAGCCAATTTTCTGGTTGAGTTAACATAAGCAGTCCACCAATCAATTAACTCTTGGGTTACTTCTGGGCAACTATTAAAACCTTCAAATTCAAAAGAGTTTTTCTTCAAGGCATACTTTTCATCCACTACTTGGAATTGCTCATTCTCGGTAAACTTGACTCTTGTATTAAAGAGTCTATTGGCCGATTCAAAAGGAGGCAAAGGAATGAGTTGTGTCAAGCCAAATTGTCTAGCCAACTGAGCTGGATTGTAATACTCAACTCCACAATGACTATTCTTTGAAGTAGGAGTGGAGGTTCCATAGTGTAAAACACGGCAAATAAAAAAGCTTGCCCAAATTTTCTTCCAATCGTCAGAAGACTTTTTGGTTGAAACTCCGGGGGCGGGTACAAGCCAAGAAGGCATCAGTCCATAAGTGGAAAAGGGATCTAAAGATGAGTTTGGTTTGAAGTCATTGTGGTCATAAAAGAAATGAAATACTTCTGTAAAAGAGAAAGGGGTGGGCCGGCTTTCAACAAAGCTATAAGTTAGTAAAGGTTTTTCAGGTTGAACAGAAATAGGAGTGGTCAAGCTTGGAATGTATATTTTCAGCCACACCTGGAAAATCCAGAATGGACCGCCAAAGCGAGTGAAATTAAACTCTAGGAGATCATTCATACCTCGGTACAAGTGAGAAGGAACCAGAGGAGCAAGGGCCAAGTCTGCACCTTTGGCAAGAGCAACAGCAATCTGGACAAAATCCTTGGTGATTTGTCCAGAGGGAACACAGAATAGGTGTCCAGAGAGCCAGCAAATCAAGAAGGCAGTAAGCCGTCTTTTTGTTGTGGAATTCCATGAAAGGTACAGGAGAAGAATAGAATTTCTTGTTTCCGTCGTCAGAGGAAGGAAAACTGAAAGATCCTGCATATAGCAAGGCGCTGATATCGTCTCCATGAGGCTTCAAACTAGTTATACAGCAAATGTCCCTCATTGTGACAGACATTATTCCATTCCGGAGATGTAAAGAGTTGGTCACGTTAGACCAGAAAAAGACAGCAGGGAAAAATAGGTTCTTGTCCTGAATCATTGATACGTTACTCAATTGTATGGCATCGAAAATGCCTTGCCTTTTCCAAGTAGAGGCGATCTTGTCATCACCAGAGAGGCGATTGACCCATGACTTCCATAATGGACGACATCTTGGCCAGTTCTTGAGAGAAAGAGTGAGCTTCACCTTTTTTCCTTTGAAAGAGTGAGCTTCACCTTTTTTCCTTTGACAAGGATCAACAGGTACTCCCAATTGAATGGGAGATCATCCTCTGCTGCAGGGCAAACTCGGATAAAGATGGAGAAAATTCATTCAAAAGAGCAGGCCCTAGTCCAGGGGCCAATATGATGGAAGGAATCGAAGGTAATCTCTAATTCAGGTACTAACTTAAGATTTTTCTGGACTAGGTGGCTATGGCTGTGTGTTTTGGTTTGATCGGTGGAGGGAGCAGGCACAGTCGAACTCGTAGTAGACCTGGTTAGCCGTTTTTGTTTTGGAGCCATCACATAAATGTCTAGGGTTTTCGTTCAACTCGAAGTAGGAAAAGAAGAGTTTGTTCTGAATACCTAAGGCAACTAGATATATATTTATAGATGTGATGGATACGCAAGAGAGATATACGGGTTTTTTCAAAATTTAAAAGTTGAACAAACCGAGGAAAGTTAAACGGCTGAGGAAGTTGGATATTTATGAAGACTTAATTGGATAGATACAAAAGGCGGCTGACTTGCCTTTTCAAGATCAAGCAATTATTCTTTTTATTAAATAAGTAAGATTTGGTAGGTTTTCTCATTTATGATACCCGGAAAATCGGTTCAAGATGAATGACGGGTGAATTGCACTTCCAATTTACAAGGGTTTTCTCTTTTTCCAAAAATGAGTAAGATTTGGTGGGCCTATTTGTTGATGGGATCTTATATGCCGGTTCAGAAATAGATGGGTCCCAAGGAACAACTCTATCTATTCTTTCCAATTCAGAAGGAATTAGTTCATTTTCAAAAAAGAATTTTTGGGGGGTCCAAGAAATTGGCAATTCGGATGTTAATGTCAGAAGCCAAAAGAAGTGAGGGGTCTATTTAAATTCCATGCCTTTTTTTTTTTGTGTAATCAAATGCAAAGAATTTAGGGGGCAATGTTTACACCCTTATTTTCACTCAATGGAAAATACACACGTGGAAGGAATTCTTTGTCAAGCCAGGTTCTAACATGTGGAAGAATTTGGGTCAAGCCGGTTTTTGTGATGGGTGAGAGTTTCGCTCAAGGAAGGGTCTCAGTAAAATCTAGTTAGAAGTGGTTTGGATATATTAAACTACTTTAATTTTATGAAGGCCTATGAAATAGGGTTTGACTCAAAGAAGCCCATAAAGAAGGTTGGCAGTTGAATTAAATTGAAGCTAAATTAAATTGAAGCCACGTAAGAAACGTTTGGTCAAAGGAACGTGTTTATTAAACGTGAAGAGATTGGGGTTCTTAAAAATATGGAGGTCGGTTTTTCTTCAAATTGCATGTTTGGGGCCACTACTACCACCATCCGGGAAATAGGAGTGGTGGCCATTTGCTCAGACAGAGGAAGTCATGCAAATCAAAGTACGATCACACGATTGTTGGCATGTTTGGAACGTTGGGGCTCTAGAAGGATTAAAGCACGATCACATGATGGCACAATTGCAGGGCAACTCCAGACACGATAATAACGTGGGAAAAGAACGTGGAAGTTCCAGGAAAATCACACGATTGTGTGTTTGGGACGTGGAGGTTCTAGCACGTTTGCATGTTTTGGGACGTGGAGGTTCTAGGAAAATCAAGAACGGTACGATTGCATGTTTTGGGACATTTGTCAGCTGTTGGTGGCATAAATGGAACTGCTATTGTTAACTGTTATATTTTCATTCTATAAATAGGACCTTATGTATAACGTAGAAGGGGCTCAACGCCAAAAACGCATTTCAATACAATCTTTACTTTATACTGCAATGCAATTTCATTTTGTTTAGTCTAAGTCCTACACTTTACTTTACATTAGATAATCTTACTTTCCAGTCAATTACTTTCTCAAGTAGTTCGTTTCTTCCTAATCAGTTAACTATCCCGAAGTCCTTTATCAAAGGCAAAAAGAACCCTGAAGTGTTCATTCCAGACCTCAACACAATCGCCTGGTCCCGCAGACTTTCCTCTGGAATATTGTTTGGATCTCTCTTTGGAAATACTGCAGTTCCTGGCACGCCCATCCGGTTCCATCGGAACTGGCGCAAGCTTTTTTCAGGCCAAACACCAGTAGATCATTTTTAGAGAACACTGCAAAGATGGACGTTGCATAGAGATGAAAACAAGAGAGAGTGAGTTCTGAGTTCTTCAACATTGTTTGATGTCAACTTCACCGCCTCTATAGAGATTCTGGTTAACCTACTATCTTTTCCACTCTCGAATATTTTTTCCACACTTAAATGGCGATCAAAACTGTCTAATAGCATGAACCGCTGTTTAGGTTGGTTTTAAGGCTTTTGGGTTTTGGGGGCATTTAGGTGATTTAAAACCAATTTTTAGGAGTCTAATCAAAGTACAGTGGTGGAAAGCTGGTCTCATATTAGTTGTTCATTTTCAAAACTTTGACTCACTATTATTTTTTTATCATTATCATTGAAGTATTTCTTTTATGTACTATCTTTGTACCTTATTTGACTTCCACTGTAAAAACTTTGGCTCACAATTTATTTTTCGCCACCCAAACTCGCAACGCCCTCATTGCGGTTGGGCCACCCTGCCTACCCGGGTGGACTCATCCGGACGCCTTCCGGGCCGGACGCTTGGCGTGACACCGGATCAAGGATTGGGTTTGGCTCTGATACCAACTGTAACGGGTGGGCGCTTGCCCATTTACCCAAAAGTTCGAACTGTTAGGTAAGGCTGCATACCCACCCATTTATACCCAATCTCTTTCCCATCCGATTTCGATGCGGGACAAAATGACCCAACGGTTGGTGATCAATCTCAGACGTCTGATCTCACAGATGGGCCCACCTCCTGTATTCACAAAAACTAACTTCCAAAACGACCGAATTTCAGTGGCTGACACTGAAAAAACCCTACCTCAAAATGACCTCTCTTCTCCTTCAACTTCCCTCTGTTCTCTCTCTCTCCCCTTCGGCTTTCTCTCTCCGAAATACCCATTTCCCTTCCTCTCAAACCTCTCTCAAACCCTCTTGCTACGATAAACCCTTCAAATTCAAATCTCTCACCATCTCATTTGCCCTCACAGAATCAGATTCTCCCAAATCCCTAGACCCAGAAACAGACCCTCAATCGCTACTCAAACAACTAGCGGTAAGCAAAAATTATTTTAGTTTTTACTTCTAAATGCAACAATTTTACAAAGATTTTGATTTGGGTTTCTATTTTTGGTGGTGATTTTCATTCCCTTTTTGTTTTTTTTCCCTGCAGGACAGTTTTGTTCTTCCACCAGACTATCTTTCTCAACTCCCTAGCGATCTTCGCCTAGACGTAAGTGAGGTTTAAATTTTTTACAATCCATTTTCTGATACAATTAGTTTAAATATATTCTTGGTGTCTTGGTTATATACTGAGAGAGTTATTGCCATTTGTTTTGAAATGCTGAAGCTGAATGACGCAGCTTTTGATCTTTCCAATGGACCAGTTATTGATGAGGTAGGTGATTTTTGATCAATTCTGTTTCAATTATGTGTTTAATGGATGGATAGCAACATGTATGTTCACACACCTACATGTGGGTGAACTTTTGAACAATAGTGTTTTTTGGGAACCTTTTACATGGATTTGTTTTAAAAAGTTTTGTTAATGCTTTTCTGAGATTTTCCTTTGCGGGTTTAGTGTTTTATGCTTCGTTCGGTTGGGAAAACAAAAAATTTGATGGAAGGGAAAGAAGAATGGATGGATGAGACATCCCTAGAGAAGAGGTTGTGCCATTCCCTTTTTTTGTTCGGTTGGATGGAAGAGGAGGGAATAAACTCATAATTTACTGTATTAGTTAGGAGAGAAGGGAAGAGAGCATTTTAATTTAGGGTAGTTGTAATGTAGAAGTAATTTACTTTGTTTGTATAATTTAGGATAATAGTAATTTAAAACTTTTATAATAGCCCTACTTGTTTTCCCCCCTTTCTTCTGCCCATATTTCGAGGGATGAAAATTTGTAAAGGAGGAGGAATGACTCATCCCTCCTATTATCCTTTCTCTCGTTGTCTCCTCTCTACGGAACAAAGGAAGTTTGTTCCTTTCTTCCTATCTTCCCTCCACTCCTCTTCCTTCCTTCCTACCAAACAAAGCATTAATGAGCAGCAGTGTTATATACTGGGAAAAAAAATTGTCACTGCACATGGATTAAAAATTCTTCAATTGAAATTTTGAAAATTTATTATCCATTTATGTTTAAAAGTATTTCTAGCATGCGTACTGAATCATGTTTTATGAACACTAGACTGTTGTTGCTTCATAAATACCTTTCTCTTGACATACATTGTAATAATGTAGAGTGATGTTCATACATTGTAATTTATCTTATATCTTTCTTGGTCCAACTGAACAAGTTTTGCTCATGATTCTTCCCGATTTTGCAATTCTTTGGCAAGTTCCATGGTTGACCCAGTCATAGTCCTGTTTCTGTCAGTTTAGTTCCTTCAACATTTTTAAATTTCTTATATCAAATTACTGGATGCAATGATACATATGAAGTTTAGCAAGATGCCAAGAATGCCAAATGGAACAGGGGGACCAAAATTGAAACACTAATATCAAACAAGGGCCACTAGAAAAGTTGAAGCTTGAAGGAACTAAAAAAAGAAGATTTGGTATTAACAAATCCTCAGACTTAGTACGATTTTGGGCATCTCTATTTTGTAGGCGCAGTAGCAACACTTGTTTCTCTTATATGCTACCATCACACATTTCCTATGAGATCAGCTGCTTATATCCAAGAGACTTGTAATATCAATTACTTTTGAATAAAAGAATCAGTTCACGTGGAAATCATTTAACCAAAAAAATGGATTATAGTTGTAGCTTAACCTTTAATTCCCACCCATATAGCTTGTAACTTCATATTCCACTTCTTTTCCAAAAACTCCACTCTCAGCCCTTTTCCAAATTAATTCAAATGAGGTTAATTACCTCAGCATCATCATCCCAGATACATATAACAGTAAATTGTGATGCTTAAACAGTGTTGTGTTTGGGCATGTTCATTTGGTTTTTGGTACAACTGGGATCATTTCTAGTGGTGAACAATCATATCTTATATTAGTCAGCCCTCCACATTGAAGTTCATCATCCCAATTTGTATTCTTGCCCTTGCTATATCAGTATCTGAATGTAATATAATATGAACCTCCTGACAGAAATCCATTCCATTAGGCACAGACGCACAACATTCAAATAAAATTCAATAGTCACATTTTCAGTTCGCTCAAAGTTTATGATCATAAACAAAAATAAAATAAATATAATATTTGACTTATTTTCAGTAGAAAGGAAGTAAAATCATGAAATGTTCAGACACAAGAAAACACTGCATATATGAATTGCACTATAGAGGAAGACAACCTGAACAGATAAACAAGAAATGCCACCTTTCTGGAAGCTCGTTTCAAGCAGCAAGTAGTAAATGAAGCTGACGTCACCCACTAAAGTGTTTGCATGTTTCAGGCTATTCATGAAAATTATACTTGAAGCAGGGATGTAGAACTCCAAATAGATTAAGCTTTTACTTTTTTGGTAAGTAAGATAAGAATATAGATTAAGTTTTTAAAAGTGAAGTAATTCGAAATTTGATCCACTTATTTAGTTATGTTCTCCCATGAATACTGAGTAATTGACAGAGACTTGCTATGGGTATGGCATTCCCCAAGCAATCATTTCAGATCTCTTGTTTATGAGTTTGAATGTTTGTCTTTGCTGACTGGAAGGTTCATTACTGGGCCAGCTCAAGTGGTATCACTTCCTTCTCCCACATGGGAGATTGACGGTTCAATGTACCCATAGAGGCAATAGTGGGTGGGTAGTGAATGCTTTCCTACCCAAAAAAATAAAAAAGACTGCACGTTTCATTGATTAAATCCAGTAGTTGGAAACTAATACATAAGAAATTTTCATTTTCAGTGTGGTCAAGAACTGGGAGAGACACTGCTAAATATAGCTCGCGCATGGGAACAAGCTGACACATCAACTTCCACCAATTTGGTGAGCAGGCTCCCGTTGTTAGTAGGCACTTTGACAGACAATGCAAAAGCAGGCAAGACTGACGGAAATTTATAATTTTTGGTTTACTTGATTATAAATCGAGTTCTTCTTTTGAATCCAATTGTTATTGTTGTTGCTGCTGATTTAGCATTTGGCAAGCGTTTGGTATCTTCTGGAAGGAGATTCCAGTCCATGGGACAGTATGGTCAAGGTGAACTACAAAGGGTATTTTACGGAATCTTTTTATATTTTATTTGGCATTGTATGAACATAAAGGCTGTTAAGATAATTATTTTCGAACCAATTTTCTACTTACGGAATTTGATTTGCTAAGGTCGCATGCAATCCTGTTTTTGCAATACTACCATGCCATTAACTTCCTCTTAATTGCTTACCTACAAATTTTGGTCTCAGCTGGCACACAAACTTGATTTTGCTTGAAGATTCATAATACATATACTTTTATTAATTATGCCACGACTCAGATTAGGTGGTCAAACTACCATTTATGCAATCCAGAAATTTAATTATGAAAATATAAAAAAGAAATAAAGGAAATCCTGAAATACAGTAGTAGTGTAGGAAAACTATCAAACTGTTTCCATTGCTACATGTGATTACTGAGGATGGTTCATTTGTATTAGACCAGCTTGTAAAATTTTGCAATTTTCAAATTGTAAATTCAAACTGAAAAGTGACGAGTTAACAAGTTACCATCTTGTTATATGTAAAAGATTTCTACCTAGTGATGCCTATCAGAATCGTACATACTTGTACCCAAAGGGTGATAAAAGAAGAATGCTGAGATCATGCAAGCCAAATTCCAGTCATCCTTGCCAGTTATCCAGTCTTGCCAAGGCCATTTAACTAGTGTTTCTGGTTTGTGCCATTCATTCAATTGAATAAAAGATTATCCTATTCTACATTAGTTGCTGCTAGTCATCTAATATCTCTATTCAATCCTTTTCCTTACAACTGCATTCCCTTTCTTTGAAGAGCAAAATGGATGTCCTCTTCTTTTTGGACACTTATGTAAGAAGAAAGGGAGACAGTTTTTTGTGCATTCAATTGGATCATGTCTCCGTATATTTGTTATATTTTGTTATTTAATTGAGTGGTTAATTTTTCAGCATATTGGAGCAAAGCTACCATTGAATGTGTCCATTAAATTATTGTTGGATAATTTTGAACCATTACAGATTGCCAAAGCAATGACTATGACTGGAAAGCTTTTGACATCGAGTCAGGCATCTTCAGCAACCAATGAAGAACCCAAACAAGAAGAAAGGATGCTGAAGGTACATTATGATTTTAAAATTGCTATTAAACTTTGAGCACTACATAGAAAATTCTGAATGGTAAAGTTTGTTTCAAATTGCAGTTTGGAGATCTTCAGGTTGAACTAACACCGGAAAAGGCTTATATTGGGGCTGCAATTGCTTTCATTTTTGGGTAATCATCCCATGCAAGCTTTGAATTCTCTTTTTCTACTTCTCTGTAGAAATTTTCTAGCAGAAGCATTTGTTAATTCTCTTCAGAACTTGAATTGCAGGATTCTTTCATGGCAATTTAGTCAAGGCATCCAAAGCTCACCAGAAAGCTCATTGCAGTATGCAAATGACAATGCTTTGCTCCTTGCCAAGGTGTTCGAACGACATGTTTTGAATGAAATTCTGTTCAAATCTCATCTTCTTAATTCTTCTTCTTCAATTCACTACACTTATACTCAAAAAATGTCAAATGCAGTCATTGCGGGGAGCTCTACTTGCAATGTGCTACTCATCAACGGTCTTGTGCGCTTTATCTACTGTGGGACTTATTTTACTTGGAGGACAACTGAAGTCAAAAGAAAATTGAGATCCTAGGTGCTGTCCTATCCTCATTTTTGCTTGTATATCCTGTCGTATTAAACATTATAATGTAAGAGTTACAATGTCGGGACAGAAGGAAGAATTGGAACACTGTATTGGCCTGACAATCTTACAAGAGAGTTGTTTTTATTTTTAATATATATATATATATACTTACAAGAGAGTTGTTTTTATTTTTAATATTTATTTTTTTTTTAAAAAAAAAATAGAACTTTATCATTTAGCTCCATGCCTTTGGCATTCTGTAGAAAACTAGACCAGATTAACAATTCATTTGAGTGCAAGAAATTATAGCCTTTTTTACATTTCCTAAAATTTTTGTATTAAAGAAAGATATCACTGCTGACTGCAATTTTTGTATTACGATATATTGTGCTCCATCCTTAAATTGCATTTATAATGTTTACATACATATGCCATGGTATAATTATATATACTCATGTAGCTTAAAATTTTAACTGCTATCATGTTTATACATTTGATTGAAGAGAACCTTTATACCATAATTAGAAAACTACATTACAACGTATTGCATGCTTTTCTTTCTTTTACTAGTCTTTCAGAAAACCAATACTCTGCTGCTTTCTTTGAAGAAAAAAAGAATACTATCCTATTGGTTTGATGGTCATTAGAATTAAAAAGCAGAACTATAGAATCTGTTTCTCTTTTTTCCTTTTTTCTTAATAATACTGTTGGAAAAGTATGAAACAGTTCTGTTGGAGGAGAGGAGAGATTTATAGGAATTTGTTTTATTTATGGGTTGATATGGTAAGCCCCTGGTGGTTGAACCACGTAATATTATTCTTCTGATGTTCTTTCTTTTATTCTCTATTCTGTCTTGTATTATTCTTCAAGTTCAGTTCTTTCTCTTTCTTAATAGGACCAAATCTAGCTTTCTTATTGCTTCGTCGTCAAAGTGTTTCTATTAATAAATCTCATAATTCTTCTAAGGAGACAAAAAAAAAGAAGCTGAATGTAGCTATTGAAAGTATAAACAAAAACAAATAGGGTCAACATTGTTGGCAATGAGCTTGCATTTATAAAGGATAGGTTATATAATGAGAAGTTTTATCTTTACTTTCCCATTCTTTCAACAACAAAATTAATATTTCTTATGAACTTTAATTGCAATCTACTAGAGAGTGAATGTACATGTATATTAAATAGTGTGTAATGTGACAAATGTCCTTTTTTTTTTTTTTTTTGGGGGGGGGGGGGGGGGGGGGGTGTGGGGGGCTTAAGTAGTTGAACACTTTCTTGATTGTCATTAAACTCTTCCTCTAGATTCTTTACCCATTATGTCGTTCCAAGTACTTGAAGTAGCCAACAGTACATAAGCCATGATTCTTTATTGAGTGATAAGTAGTTTTCTTTGAATAGAACCAAATTTACAAGCTGTTTTTATTTTTATTATTTTTATTATTATTTATCAAGTAGTTGCAGATTAATTGTTTGATCTTTAATAGGGTCAATCAAACTTGAAGTGACTCATTTGACAATGCCCTACAATAAATGACAATAAATTTGTAAATTTTCACCCTCTGCCCTTGATTTCACTGCATGCCGTCTGACTTGTCCATAAAAACTTCTGCCTTACTCTTCCATATTTATTGTAGTGTTCTTTCTGAATGCTTCAACCATGACATTTAATGAAAGAAACACTGCCTTTTTCACAGCCTTCACTTTAATGGTTGGCTGGATTCTTACTTACAGAGAGTATCAAATAGCAACACAAATCTGGAGAGGATCCTCCTATTCACCTAATTTGCCAAGAAGATGCTGCTTCGATCGGCCGACCTCATCCATATGAGACTCGTGACGATAATGGTGATTTTTCTTCCACGATGTGGAATTATAGTGTCTAAAAGTAAAAAACCAGCAAAGTAGTCATTTAGAAACTCCCTGCCTGGTTCAGTTTTATGTAATCTAATAACTGAAAAACAAAAAACTGTACAAATATATGTTTGGTTGATAGTTTCTAAGAACTGTTTTTTGAAAACAATTTTCTGTTTTCTGACTTTTTAAGAACTGTTTTATCATTTTTTTTTTTTTTCTTTTTCTTTTCCCTCATTCAAAAAGAAGGGGAAAAAAATACACACACATATACCCTAGATATATTCAACATTTAAGAGAGAACATAGAGGGGAATAGGGCTACAAATGAATTTATTTAAGTTTAGGTAGTAGAACCTTTCAAAAAAAAAAAAAAGTTTAGGTAGTAGCATGGTTTGATTTTATGACGAGTTCGGAAAGTTGAACTTAAGTTGTTCATAGGCATGCCATGCTCTGACTTCAGCTCATCATTATCATCCTTGACTTTAGTTCATGAGCACGCAAATATACTATTTCCATTTAGTATTTTCTTCTCCACGTAGTTTCAAACCAATAAAAATAGTTTTTGTGGTAATTACCTGTTTAAAATGTTGCTATTTTCATGCCTCTTTGGTGCTTTTTTCTTATTTATAAATAACGCTTCCTGAAATGCCAAGCATACCCAAAAAGGGAAGAATGTGAAAGTAGCCCCAAAGAATAGGAAATAGCCCTAATTATTTACTTCAAAATTTAAAGAAAGAATTTAAGAATACAAATTTTTACATGAATAAATGGACGGAAAATGCTTTTATAGTCTGACTAAGCAAGTCCGATTACATTCATAAGACTCATTCGCTCTTGTTCGTGATATTGTTGAGCGAGTCTATAACAAAAACATTTTTAGTAAGCTCACACTTTATAGTCCTTGGATTGAGAGGCTAGCCGTATAGGCTCTCCATCCAATGATTATGAGGCATGAGCTCGTGCACGTACACATTCGTTATAGCATTTTCCTTAACTATTATGGATGATGGTTTGAACAAGATCATGGACATTTTGGATTGTTTCCAGGGCCACCATAGTAGAAATGTGTGCCCCATCCACTGTTGTAGGAGCTCTTGATGCTGTAACAATTGGTGTTCTCAGCTAGGGTTGATATGTCTTGGGCTGAGCTGAGGCTATTATCTGAGTCCACAACCTCTATGTTCCTGAAATAGCTTGCTTTTCCAAAACCATCTTCTGCAAAGCGGCCTGACCCCATTCGGGTGGCGGTGTGTTTGCCATTCGGCTGCGAGTTCACCACCTCGCCACCCCACTCCACCATGGTGGCATGCTCCGCCAAGTGCGTGAAAAGCTCGGCCGGCCAATAACCTACCAGCATGTTTTCGCCGAAGCCCATCCACCAGTTTCCTAACTTCGGATCCTAAATATGGAGAAAAACATTAGAATCCGCTAACGATCTTTTTTATTTTACAATACCCGTTAAAATTATGCAAGTATCAAGAAAAATGATTAACTTAGTGAAAATTTTAATAGAATGGGGAGTCAAACCGCTCCTATCCACTGGATGGTGAAAGCGATATTTTGTTTGGGTCCCACTTTCACCATCTAGTGGATGAGTAGTTGTTCAGGTCTGCATTTGGTTATAACTTATACTATGCATGTCAGTGCTCAAGTATTAAAGAAGAAAAACTAATATGAACCTTCCAAATGAGAATGGAGACGTCGAATTGATTGCCGGAAAATGACGATATCGGAGAAATAGCAGCTCCGATGGCTATTCTACTATTGGTTTGCACAAATCCTGAACATAAAAGGTTGTAGCATCCAGTCGCCTGATATGAATCCGACTGTAGTATATAAAATGAAACATTTAAGTATTATACTTATATTGTTACACATTGATCATGGTTAAGTTATACGAAAAAAAAAAAAAAAATAAGGTGCATATGTAAATCATGTTGGAAGCCAAAAGGTATAATGGTAAAGTTTCACCTATTTTCACTCACCAATAAAAATGGTTAAATTCACCATTTAAATTTTTGAATTTCAAAATGTTGAATTAAATGGTGAAATTTTAAAATAAAGTGATGAAATTGTAAGCACAAATCATGAAAAAGTTACTAGAGAGGATTTTTTATTCGTGTGTCATTTTTTATTCGTTTGTGTGTGTGTGTGTGTGTGAAAAAGTTACTAGAGAGGATTTTTTATTCGTTTGTGTGCGCGCGCGCATAATTTAATAAAAAGATTAAGGAATGATGAAACAATGAACTAAAGAAGAGAGATCTGACCGTCCAGTAAGTGAATAATCTTGGCCTGCTGTCACCATAAAGCTCCGGACTAACCTGACTAGTACAAGGATAAGAACTTCAGAAATCTAATTTCAAATTAAAATGTTTAAAGGAAATTCATTTATAGCCTCTGTAAAAATAAAAAATAAAAAAATATATAATCTTATATTCATTATTTATTTTTTACACAACACGAGTACATTTTTTTTAATTTGGCAAGGAGATTAGGAGAGAAGAGGGAGAGGATAGGCTGAGTCAAATCTCGGCTCACACACGATTTGGGAAATTATTTTTACTCATTGGACTAATTAACTCACCCCATTTTATCTAGGAGTAGGTATTCGGTGTGCCCGGTGCACTGTACACAGGGCTAATCAGAGCCGTGCATACACAACACGCGCCGACTAAAGAAACAACTCTGATTAGCCTAATAGACAATACACCGAGTACACTGAATATCTATTCTGAACACAACAATTTTAAGGTTGATTATCCTTGACGTTAACGTGTTACCAAACTTACCCAAAAACAAATATATATATATCATGCACTAATTAATTAATGCATGTTCCAAGACATGCACTAAATGCTTGTAAGGAACATGAATTTAGTGCATGTCTCCCATTGAAGTTTCAAAACTTACCCTCTACATGTTATTTTGGAAATGTTTTCAAATTTTAACGATAGTATGCAAAGATATACATACATACATACATATATATATAACATTTATTTCAGTACATAATTAAAAGGAATAATTTACATTTATTTTGGAATGGGTGAGCAAATAAAATGAGTTCATGGATTCACTTGTTTATATATATTCCATTTCATTCAATCTTAATTAGCTAGACATTTTCTCTCTTTCTGTTAGAGTAATGCCCAATTAATCCCTTCCTATATAGGAGATGTTGTACACTCATCTCGTGTCGGTACATCGTAATGTAATAGTTACATCATGAAATGCAACACTAAGATAACAATGTAACATAATTGTTGCATAGGCGATGTAAAATTATTACATTAATAATGTAATGGCACAAGATATATATAGGATGAAAATGTAAAAGAGAGGATCCATGTTCAATTTTAAAAGGGAGAGTCGAACAAAGCTCCCCTTGAATGTACTTAAGTGGGGCATAATCATATTTCACTTAAATCCATTTAAAGAAGAGCCTTGTATGACTCCTCCTTTCAACTATATATCTTTGATCAGAGAATCATTTTCTTTTATCTTACTGAAATAAAAAAAATTGGTAGAAAAATAACACTTGTCACTCAATACCAAAGACAATAGACTTTTTAATGTCTCATCTCAATGTTACAATTCAAGTTTTTATAAATCAACATATTCACACTTTTAATTTATCTCATCCATTTTGTTCAAATAGAGACTTACATAATGAATTCGGCGATGAATTATAGATTACTCAAAAAATATATATATTAAAATTAAAATTGGACATTGTCCAAATTGAGTGAGTAGATACAGCACAAAATAAATTAACATAAAACTTTTGAAGGGCATTTTTGTCTTTTCAAAAAAAATTAACCCTGGAATCGGAAATAGTATATTGAATGCTAATTAAAAATATTAATGTAAGAGGTGCTGGATAGTGTGTGTGTGTGTGTGTGTGTGAAAGAAATGGAAGAAGTAGTACCTGCCAGCCAGCTTCTATGCTGTTGAGATCTGAGCCGTCGAATGATCCCGAAAGAACCCAAATCTGGGAGAGACTAAACTCGTTGACCACTTCCACTGATGGGTCCCACACATTTATGGTCGCCCTTGCCCCATACACCTCTGACGATGCTTTGGTGTATGCGATTGCATGCTATGAATGTGCACATGCATACATGCAAATATCATTATCATCATCATTTAAATTGTTTAACTAATAAACTTTTAATAAAAGAAGACAGAGGGACAATATCATAATAAGTTAATAACCCACACATTAATGTGTACTATGAATCAGAGCTCTATTTGGATTGTATTGTGAACTTAGTATTTATTACTGTAATTAAAGTATCTGTAAGTGATGAATATAATGTTGGTAAAAAAAATAAAATATTGAATGAGAAAAAATAAAAAATAAAAAAAATACAAGTAAGGAGTAAATACAGTAGGACCACTTTGAAAGAAACTAATAGCTAGAATATTGGTTTGCAATTCATTTAAAACAAATTCATTGTTTTTATAAAATGTATTTATGGAGAATAGATATATACTTCATGAAACCACACTTCTGCACCAGAAAAAATATTTCCTACTCCACTTGTTATTTTTGGAAAATTTAAATAAGTTTAGCCCGGTGCCCAAGACTTATTGCAGAGTTCGGGGAGGGTTTAAAATATAATTAATAAATACGTAAATAATCATATTTTGTCCATGATAAACATTTTTTTTCTCTTTTTTTTTTACCTTGCTGCACAAAGATTCAATTTTGTATGCATTATGACTTGAACCCTTGACTTTTTACTTTAGAAATTTTGGTAACCGTAGTAAACATTTAAATTGAAATGAATAATTATTTTAAACTGAGGGAGTTTGTTAACATTTAGGGATAAATTATTGGGTACTCTTGAAAATTATCACGTATTAGATGTTCCTTTTAGGGGTAAAATTTTTTAAGGTAACATATAATTATTGCATTATTCTCTTTAAAAATTACTAAATTATCCTTTTAAATTTGAATATATATATATATTTAAGTTTAAAATTTTTAACCTCATGGGTATTTTATGGACAAATGTGAGATGCATTGGTTGAACTTTTCAAGTGCACAAATGTTTTGAAATAACTCAAAATAGAACGATGGACAACTTTTTAGATTTCTATTTTGGTTGTTCTAAATTAATTGTCCACTTTTTAAATTCAAACATTCTATTTCACATCTTGTATTAAAATACTCTTAAACTTATAAAAAATTACAAACTTTGATTATATAAATATTTAAACTTAAAAGGAAAAGTTAGTAATTCTTAAAAAAGACAATGCAATAAGTATATATCCCTTTAAAAAGTTACTCTCCAAGTGCAATATCTAGGGGTGGCAAAATTTGACATAACTCGCCAATACGACTCGAACACGACACGAATTAAGTGGGTTTAAGTTGACCTTAAACGAGTTCGGGTCGTAAACGGGTCGACACGACTAACCCGTTTAGTTAATCGTGTTGTATTTGGGTTAAGGGGTTTAACCCGTATAACCCGTTTATATATACACGTTTAACCATACATCTCATAAGCAAATTTCTTTTTAAGTTCCAAAATTACTATCTAAACAAGTATCTTATAATTTACTCCTTTATAAATTAGAGACTATCTAGTAATTTGGTTGAATTGAAATTTATATTTTAATAAATAAATCGGATTAATGTTAATAGTTCTTGACCCGATTATTAAACGAATCGTATTCGTATTGAACTATATATATATTTAGTAAAATATTCTTAGTCGACATAACACGATTAAAATATACAAACACAAATTACCAACCCTAACAATATCTAAAATAAGATAGATAAAGTATTTATTTACCAGAGACTCCAAATACTAGAAAGTCGGTATTCCCGATATATCTAATATGTGATAGATAAAGTATTTAATTTACCAAAGTACTACATAATTTCTAAGTGGCCCTTCAATGTCATGATTGTCATACATAGGTGGGGGAATGATAGCGTACCTCGTGTCCATTGCCACTCACTACATCCGGCGCATCAACGCGTCTATGAAGGGTTGGTGATCTGCTCTGTTTCTTCCCAAAGTCATACAAAGACTTGGCTCTCAACACATCATGCTCTGTGGTGCGCCGTATAGGAACAGTGCCCTTGGGACACCTTTGTCCTTTTTGATGCCACATTTGCCATGCACTGTCTCTAATGACTCCATCACTCCCACTACTACTATTCTTCTTCTTGTAATCTCTCTCTACACTTTCTTTCATCATTCTCATCTTGGGCTTTTCTGGTGGAACTCTCTGTTAACATTAATTTCAACACAATTCAACCCATCATTCTAATTTTTAGAGAGAGAGAGTGAGAGAAAAAAAAAAAAAAAAGGGATAGAGAGAGAGAGAGAGAGATTGGCTTGGTTTTATCTATTAGTAATTGTAGAAGAAAGAGGTGTTTGTTTTGGTTGTTGAAAACTCTGAAGGTTTTCTTGTTACATTTCCTCGTTACAAACAACAAAATACACATATATACACAACACATATATACACACACACAAATATATATATATATATAGAGAGAGAGAGAGAGAGAGGGGTGAACCATTTAATCCTTTGATTTTGTGGAACTATTTAATCCTTGCATTTGCCTCACTAAAAGGAAAGGTCAACCATCTTTTACACACAACCAAACACAGATACAAAAACACACACATGATATGAATGTATTTGTCTGTGTATATATTTATATATAGAGAGTGAGAGATCTATTATAGAAGCTCTAGCTAGCTAGATTGAGAAGCTTAATTGGTAGTAACATTATTAGTACCCATGAACCTAAAGGCTTTTCTATTGCATTTGCTCACAAAAATAAATGGTATTAACCAATGTTTTACACACACAAATATAATATAATATATATAGAGAGAGAGAGCGAGAGAGAGGTGTTAGCTTTTTTTTGACTTTTGTACCTGGATCTTGTGATTCTTTAGAAGAGGATGATCTAAAGCTGGTTGCCTTCTTTTATGGACACAATCTATGATATCTCCATCTGGGCTCTGAGAACATCAATCAAAAACACCAAAACATTTACATATACATATATACATATATATATATACACACACATATATATAGAAAGAAACAAACCTCTATGGTTAAAAGAGCAGGCTTGTTGATCTTCTCCAGATGTCTCTGAATCCTTGCAAGTCTCAAGCTCCCAACTTTCCTATATCTTGTGTAATTTAAGCCCGAAACGACACTCAATCTTTGCGAGAAAACAATAACAACAAAGATTAAAAATATTGGTACAAGCCTTTCGAAAATCCCCATTTCATTCAGTGCCCAACAAAGACAAAGAAATTGAGAAAAAACTAGCCACAACACACCATTACTAGCAAAAACAAAGCGAAGGGCACAAAGCAAATCAGAGACACCTCTTAATAACCCCAAACACCCCAACAGTACTAAAAGGAAAGTAGGAAAATGACTTGTTATGGGGACTACTTAATTAATTCTCCCTCTCTCTCTCTAGATTTTCTCTCTCTAAATGCTGAAATGGGGAGGTGGGTTTGCAGGCTAATTAAGCTGAGCACACAACCCCAAACACATTCAGCGTCATCATCATCATTGCCAGCATAAGATTTTATGTCTAACAATGACTGATAAAAACTTTGTCTTGATAGACTTGCACCAGTGAAGAGAAAGAACAGCGGATATTCAAAGCACTTTAAAAACTATGACCTACCCATCTTTTATTAATTACAGCTCACTTCACTAACTTGAATATATATATACATATATGTACGTATATACGTATATGTGTATCTATCTCTGTCAATTCACAATCTTCGCCATTAATATTCCTTCAACCGCAAACTCTTTGCTTGTTTCTTGCTTTTCTTTTATTTTCTTTCCTTCACAGTCTCTCATCCGTTTCCTCTCTGTTACATATATTGCCTTACCTTTTTATTGAATCTCAAGTTGCAAGCAATAACTATGCCACCTAACATGAGTCAATGACACGTGGCGTACACAGACTCCAATTCCTTAACCCTACTTGCTTGCTGGTGGTACATTTCTTTACTTGTAATTTAGGTGTGTAACAAAACACCAACATAATATGTTACTGTTAGTACTATCCTTAAGATACATACATTGTTTTGTTTGTAAAATAATGAAGTATTCATCATTATGAAATGATATGCATCTGGTAATGAGTAATGAAATTAGTATTAGTTTACCATAAAAGGAAAAAGGAAAAGGAGAAAGAAAAATAAATAATACAATATGCAATTTTTTGTTTGTCTATGAAAAAATGTGCAAAATTAAAAGCGATTTTTAAAAATAAATATCTTGAGAAAATTGTATTTTGTTTGCATAATATCCATACACAACCTATATTAAAATAATTTTGATGATATACAATGTACATTATGGGTTAAGAAAGAAAATTTTAATTGAGCTGGTTGTATTAGTAACGTGGTATCACCAATTGATTAGATACTGACACATAATGATATATATAACCCACTAAAATAAAACACTTTTGCTTATGTGACGTAATACAATTGGTTAATGACTCAAATAACGAAGTATTAAAGGTAGAGGGAAGTTTTTTTCATCAAATGCATCCTATAGCTAGTCATGAAATGCATTAAGGTAGGACCGTGTTGGACTTCTAAAAGCATTTTTTTAATAAAAATATAATGTGAAAACCGAGTTTGCGAACAATATTAATGAATTTAGGTTTAGTAACTTTAAAAGATCATCCAGAAATTTTGCCCTTAATTTGATTTAGTTTGTGAATGACCAAATCATCTAGAGTTTTGAGACTAGTTTGGTTTAGTTTTCTAAGAATAGTTTTTCAATCTTCAATACTATACAAGAACTTATTTGATTGCAATTTTTTGAAAGCTCAATTAAAAAATAAATAAAATAAAATAAAATCTTTTGTAAGCTGCATAATTCAAAATAGTAAGTGGAATATTTTAAATAAAATAAAATCTTTTATTGTGGTTTAATTTGTCAATTGGCACAGTCAAGGACCACTAAACTTAGGGGTTTTAATTTGGAAAGGACCACTAAACTAATTAGTTGTATATGATTAGTTGAATATGAGAGGGACATGCTTTCAATATTCTCTAGACAGAATTAATGCTCTTCTTTAAAACAATATGGTCAATCAAAAGTGGCAATGGGCCTCACCCCATCCCCTCTCAATTGCAACAATGGGCTTCCCCACTTCTAACTATGACAATTGGCACAGTCATAGTTCTTTTGTTGCTGGGTGGATAGTGAAGTAATAGTTGTTGTTGGCCTCCTTTGTATTTCCACAATTTTTACTATTGATGGATTTACAAAGTTAATATGTACTATTCCCGTCTTAGATTTGGAAGTGAAGGAAATTCAGTTCAAAACTTAAATTAAATTTTTTCAAATTTTAATTACGAAGCACAGATTCGGTGGTCCCAAACGCAACAAATTATTCTATATGTAAGGTTATGGCTTCACCGCTAAGAGCTTGGAGATGAAACTTTTTTTTTTTTTTTGGATAACCGTACCCGGGGTATCCGAGGCTTTGTCCCGAATAATCCTCGAGGATCCGGGATGTGTTAGAGTTGCACTGCACAATCAACCAGATTTGATGCCAGTTGTTGTAGCGGAAACATAAAATAAACAACATTGTTCAAGAAATAAACAAGCAATCACGAAGAAAAAAAAATCATACACAAGAACACAAGATATACGTGGTTCACCCAAATCTTAGGATTACGTTCATGGAACACACTGAACAAATTCACTATGAAGAAGATGAAGAATTACAATGAAAAATTAGCTCTCAATCTCTCTCAATTGCTCTATCTTGTATTGGCACAAATTTTTCTCTAACTCTCACACTCTCTAAAATCTTATTAGAGTTGATATTTATATAATCCCAAACTTGTCCTACAAGAACTTGCCTTTTGTAGAATCCAAAACTAATAAGGAAGTTAAATCAGATCAGAAAACTGAATTTTCCTTAAACCAATAAGGAAGTTAAACCAGATCAGGAAACTGAATTTTCCTTAAACCAATAAGGAAGTTAAACCAGATCAGGAAACTGAATTTTCCCTAAAATTCAATACTCTTGAAGTTTCCATATAATTAAATCTTCTTAAAAATAATTACCTAATCAGACTCCACAAAACCACAACAATCTCCCACTTGGAGGCTGGAGCACTTGTAAACCTATTCCATCTTTTTCTCATGCATGTATCATACATGTTGGTGCGCTTCTTTCTGTCTTCAAGCTAGAAGACCGACTAAAGTTGTGCACAGCTTCAGTTTCTCCATGGTCCCTGTATTGTTCAACATGTCAGCCGGATTCTTGATGCCAAGTATTTTCTCAAGTGTCAACACCCCATCTTTTAACAAAGATATGATAAAATGATATCGAAATCCTATATGTTTGGTTCTTGAATAAAATGCTGAATTTTTTGCCAGATGTATCGCACTCTGACTATCACCGTGCAAAACATTATTCATCTGTTCGAATCCCAACTCTATCAACAAACCTTGGAACCAAATCATCTCCTTGCTGGCCTCTATCATCGCCACATATTCTGACTCTGGAGTAGATAATGCTACAATCCTTTGTAATTGCGAAACCCAACTAACTGCAGTTGTACCCACTGTGAACACGTACCCGGTAATACTTCTTTTGTGGTTTACCTCACCAATAAAGTCTGAATCTACATAACCATGTAGCTTCATTTCGCCCCTTCTAAAACATAAGCATCTATTTGTGGTACCCCGTAGATATCTCAATATCCACTTTACTGCTTCCCAGTGTAGCTTGCCTAAATCTTTCATAAACCTGCTTACTGCTCCCACTACATATGCAATGTTTGGCCTTGTGCACACCATGGCATACATCAAACTTCCAATGGCTGAGGCATATGGAATTTTAGCCATAAAGTTTTTCTCATCCTCTATCTTGCGACACTGATCTTGAGATAATCGGAAGTGATTAGCTAAGGGAGTACTCACCGCCATAGCATTATTCATGTTGAACCTTTTAAGAACCCGTTCAACGTACTCAGCCTGAGACAACTGCAAAGTACCTTTCTGTTTGTCTCTACTAATCCTCATCCCAAGAATTTGTTTCGCTGCACCAAAATCCTTCATCTCGAATTCACTAGATAACTGCTTCTTCAATTCGCTGATTTCTTCAAAATCAAAACCTGCCACTAACATGTCATCAACATAAAGTAGAAGGATAATGAAACTTGACTTAAACCTCTTGAAGTAGCAGCAATGGTCAGCGTTGCACTTGTTATAGCCATGTTGCTTCATAAAACCATCAAACTTCTTGTACCACTGCCTCGGGGCTTGCTTCAAACCATACAAGTTTTTCTTCAACTTGCACACTAGTTTCTCTTTCCCTGTGACTGAGAAACCTTTCGGTTGTTGCATGTAAATCTCCTCTTCAAGGTCACCATGGAGGAAAGCAGTTTTGACATATAACTGCTCAAGGTGCAACCCCTCTGTTGCAACAATGCTAAGAACTGAGCGAATGGTACTCAGTTTCACAACCGAGCAAAAAATGTTTATGTAGTCAATGTCTTGCTTTTGCTGAAAGCCTTTGACCACCATCCTCATCTTGTATCTATTAAAACCACATATTCCTCTTTTACCCTGTACACCCATTTGTTGTGAAGAGCTTTCTTTCCCATGGGCAACTTGGCTAGTTCCCATGTTTTGTTGGAGATAAGAGATTTCATCTCATCTTCCATTAAAAGCGCCCACTTGCGAGCATCTTCAACCTGACATGCTTCATCATAATATTCAGGCTCACCATCATATGTGAGCAATATATAATCCAAATATTTTCTATTCGGTACATGAGGTCGCATAGACTTTTTGGGTGTAGGCATAGGAGTTGGAATCTGCGGTGAACTATACTCTGTGAGTTCTAGGCAAGAACCCTCATCTGTCTGCTCCGCGTCAATGCTCTCTGGATCATCATCCAACTCAACAAACTCAGGCTTACTCTGTACAGGACTAGTTAACTGTGCTGCATCTCTATCCTTGTAAATCACCTTCTCGTTGAAAATCACATATGTACTTCTAATAATTTTCTTATTCTGATTATCCCAGAGTCGATAACCAAACTCATCTCCACCATACCCAACGAAGATGCATTTTAGTGACTTGGGGTCGAACTTTCCCCTAGCATGGTCACTAATATGCGCATATGCAATACAACCAAAAACTTTCAACCATGAAAGATTTACCTCTTTGCCACTCCATACCTCTTTTGGTATTCGATACTCCAAAGGCACCGATGGTCCACGATTAATTAGGTAGGCTGCCGTATTGACTGCTTCTGACTAAAACTGCTTGGGTAGACCTAAATGTATGCGCATGCTTCTGACTCTCTCTGTCAATGTTCTGTTCATCCGTTCTGCCACCGCATTCTGCTGTGGGGTTCATTGCACAGTCCTTTCTAGTCTGATCCCATTATTAAAACAGAACTTCTTAAACCCAGTGTCTTCATACTCACCACCATTGTCTAACCTCAACCTCTTGATCTTCAAACCTGTCTCATTCTCCACCATGGCCTTCCACTTCTTGAACACATCAAATACCTCAGATTTATGCTTCAAAAAATAAACCCATACTTTCCTCGTGTGGTCATCAATGAAAGTCACGAAGTAATATTTTCCACCAATAGCTGAGACAGTGGCTGGCCCCCAGACATCTGTGTGAACTA